GATAGATAGATAGATAGATAGATAGATAGATAGATAGATAGATAGATAGATAGATAGAGTGGTGTGACAGATGGGATGATGTATGGATGAATGAATGGATGGTATGCTATCAAGTCATTTTCAACACTAGTGATCACCTAGACATAATTTCTCCAGGATGATTTGTCCCTAAACTGGTCCTGCAGGTCTTCCATCGATGCACCCATTACAACCATAATTGATTTGATTCACCTTCTCCTGGTCACCCTCTTCTTCTCTTTCCTCCCATCTTTCCCAACATTGTTGACTTCTCAAGGAAGCTGAGTCTTTGCATTGAATGACTGATTGATTATCTGCTATCAAGTTTCAGTGTCCAAATAGATCTTCTCCAGGAAGATCTTTCCATGACCTGGTCCTTCAAGTTTCATCAAGTGCTTCCATCCTGACTGTAACTCAGTCCATCACATTTATTCCTGGTTGTCCTCTTCTACTCTTCTTTTCCACCTTTCGTTTGCACTACAGACATCTCAAAGGAGCTGGTTGTTTGCACTAATTTATAGATGATGTACCGAGTCACTATTGAGTCTTAGTGACCAGATAGATCTATCCTTTCCTGGAAAGTCTGTCCATGCCCTGCCCTCCAGGTCTTCTTTCATTGGTGGCCCCCCCATCTTCACTGTTATTGAGTCTGTCCACCTTGCTGCTGGCTGTCTTCGTTTTCGTTTCACCTTTACTTGCATTATGGACTTCTCAAGGGAGCTCACTCTTCCCATTGGTTGATCGATGGCATACCATCAGTGTTGAGTCTTAATGACATTCTGTAGTTCTACCTTCTCCTGGAAGGTCTGTCCAAGGAGCTGATTGTTTGATTAATTGATGAAGTCACTGTTGACTCTTAGTGACTACACAGATCTGTCTTCTCTTGAAAGGTCAGTCCTCATTGTGGCCTTTCAGATCTTCTGACGGTGTTTCCATCACTACTATAAATGAGCCCATCCACCTTCCGCTTTTCTTCTTCTGTCTTTTCTTCTTTTCCATCTTTCCTTGCACTATGGACTTCTCAAGAGAGCTGATTTCTTGCCTTGGTTGATGGTGCACTATGAATCGCTGCGGACTTTTAATGACCACACAGATCTATCTTCTCCAGAAAATCTGCCTTCATCCTTCAAGTCTTCCAAAGGTGACCCTGTCACCAGGGTAGACTGAGTCTAACCACCTTTTCATCGCTGTTTTTTTCTCTTTTCTTCTACCTTTACCAACATAATTAAGGTCTTCTCCAGAAAGCTGGCTCTTTGCACCAATTGAATGTTGGATGGATAATGTGCCTTCAAGAGAGTTGACTATGAGCAGCTACCCAAGTAGAACTTCTTGATAAGGACCTGTGTCCAACCTAGTCCTTCCACTCTTCTACCGATTCCTCCGTTACCACCATAACTGAGTCCATCCATCTTCTGCTGGTCCTCCTCTTCTCTTTCCTCCCACCTGTCTAAGACATGGCCAACTGCTCTACAAGGTTCCTCCACGGTGGCTCTGATGCAAAGGGAGGGAAGTCTGTCAAATTGTGGAGGCTTTGCATACCCTTGTTTCGAAAGCTTCGCCTTCCACCCCCTTCTGCCCATTCCCGGCCCACCCCAGTCCTTCCAGAAGGCCTACCACGAACATCTCAAGTCATGACCTGCTTCTTGTCATGGCTACACCTCTGGCGAACCACCCAGGCTGGCTAACAAATATGCCCCCAGCCCCCTCAGCTCTTATCTCTGTCAAAGGGCTTACATTTTTATATGGCATCTTAATAACCCTTCACTTCCATTACAACTGCGTTCCTCTCATCCTCTTTCGCTCTTCTGCAAAGCCTGAGGCACCTCACTGGAGCTCAGAAGGGTCAGGTCTGTTCCGAAGCATCCGGGCAGGGGTGGGTGAGAAACTAGAAGGTCTCTCGGAGACCCCGGGGGCTTTGTCTCGTCTTTCTCTGTCCCTGTTCAAAGCTGCAAGAAAGAGGAGATCCTTTCAAAGATATTTTGATAGGGCCACCAAGAAGCCTCTTAAGAAATAGAGCCCTAACTATTTTGGATTTTCTATTGGTATGGCACGCGGGAACAGTGTATCTCCACCGTGGCACCTTGAAAGTGGATGGACTTCAACTCCCAGAAATTGCCCAGCCAGCGTGAGGAATTGTGTGACGCAACAGTGTGTTGCATGCTGCCTGGGGAATTCTGGGAGTCCACACATCTTTAACCTTCCAGGATTGAGAAGGTAGCTTTTGAGAAAACCTTAGAAAGGAGTAATCTTTTCCTTTCCTTTCCTTCCTCCCTTCTTTCTGCCTCTTTCTCTTCCTTCCTCCCCCTTTATCTTCCTCCTTCCCTCCTTACTCCCTCCCACTTCCTTCCCTCCCCCTTTGTTTAATACGAAATCAGATTTTAAAAAAACAAACAAACATATACACTCGGTCAAACAAGCGGATGTGGTCTGGCTCGGCCTTAAACCACAATAAGTGGGTTACATCCACTAAGATAAAAGTAGCTACCCACATTATGGTTAAGCAAACAGTATGGGTGTGAATTGTCTCTCTGGATATGTGTCTGAGATGGTACAATTAAAATGAAAATCCTGGAATCTTCGTGATTTTGAAAAAGCTGTGGGCGGGCGATCTTTAATGTAAAAATTTAGAACGGCCTGTTAAGGTAGCATAATGGAATTTTGGTTTATCTTTGTACAAGCCTGAGGGAAACAGCCAGAGGCCAGGTGTGAATTTAGAGATATGATAAAACGGCATTTATAGTGTGGCTGATAACCCTTTCCAGGTCAAGAGGGAAATTTCCATTTGTTACCTGTTTGGATCAGTGCACGACTATTTTATTTAATATAATAATAATATAATAATGTAATATAATATTATATTATACTATGATATTATGCTATATTATGCTATATGATATAATGCTATATAATATATGATGTTATATTACATGAAGTTATATGATTACATTTTATTTTTCATTTTATTTTATTTTTCATTTATTATTTTATTTTTTATTTATTTCATTGTATTTTTTATTGTCTTATCATATTTATTTTGTTTTACTTTATTTGGTTTTATTTTACTCTATTTTCCTTTCCTTTCTGCTCTGCACTGGTTTGCTTTGCTTTACAGGCAGTCCTTGATTTACGACCACAATTCTGCTCAACGTTTCTATTGCTAAGGGAGATACTTGTTAAGTGAGTTTTGCCCCATTTTACAATCTTCCTTGCCACTGTTGTTAAGTGAATTACTTCCGTTGATCAATTAGTAACCCCGGTTGTTAAGCGAATCTGACTTCCCCATTGACTTTGCTTGCCAGAAGGCTGCCAAAGGGGATCACGGGACCCTGGGATGCTGCGACCGTCATAAATACGAGTCAGTTTCCAAGCGTCTTAATTTTGATCACGCGACCCTGGGGGTGCTGCAACGGTTGCAAGTGTGAAAAGGGTCATCAGTTCCTTTTTTTTTTTTTTACTGCAGTGGTAACTTCAAACAGTCACTAAGTGAATGGTTATAAACTGAGGATTACCTATAATCCCAGCCAGAAGAGGCAACAATCCCTTGTTCCACATCCCGAGACTTCAATACTGGAAGTTTTTAAGAAGAGATTAGACCACTCTTGGTCTGAAATAGTATAGGGCAGGGGTGTCCAACTCAAGGATCAGGGGCCGGGTAGATCTGGCCCATAGGGACGCCCTGGAAACAGGGAAGGACTGGCCCACGATGCCTCTGCCAGCAAAAATGGAGCCTGGGAGGGCCGGCCTTGGCCCACCTGGGCTCCGTTTTCAGCTGTGATGGCCTCCTGAAGTCCTCCTCACTGGCAGAGGGCTGCAGGAAGTCATCGCAGCCAAAAACGGAGTCTGAACGAGTGACGTCAAGCTGGCCACGCCCACCCGGGGCACTCACCCCGGGCACGCCCCCCCGCCCCCCCCAAGCCAAACGCAACCCTGATGCGGCCCTCAGTGAAATCGAGTTTGATACCCCTGCTATAAGGTTTCCTGCAAAGACCTACAGGGTCTCCCCCAACCTTGTTATCCTGTTACAGGTAGTCCTTAATTTACAACAGTACATTTAATGACCGTTTAAAGTTACAAGGCCTCTGAAAAAAGTGAGTTATGACCATTTCTAACACTTATAGCCGTTGCAGCATCCCCATGGTAACGTGATGAAAATTCAGGTATTTGGCTGTGGGTTCACATTTAGGATAGTTGCAATATACTGGTCACCTTTTGCGATCTTCTGACGAGTCAAGTCAGTGGAGAAGCCAGGTTCATTTAACAACCATGTTAAATGACAACTGTTAACAACTGCTGTGATTCACTTAACAACCCTAGCAAGAAAGGCAGTGAAATGAGGCAAAACTCAATGTCTCACTTGGCAACAGAAATTTTGGCCTCAGCTGTGGTCGTACGTCGAGGACTGGCCGTATTCTTTCAGTCAGCAGGTTGAAGAGATGGCCGATTGCAGTGGTTTCCCACACACACACACAACCCAATCTCAGTGGAGCTGTTTCCTTTTTTCCACAGCCACCCGGGAATCGGCCTTCGTCCATGCCATCGCGTCAGCCGGCGTGGCTTTCGCTGTCACCCGATCCTGCGCAGAAGGATCCTCCACCATCTGTGGCTGCGACAGCCGTCACAAAGGTCCCCCTGGAGAGGGGTGGAAATGGGGCGGCTGCAGTGAGGATGTGGAGTTTGGCAGCATGGTGTCGCGGGAATTTGCGGACGCACGAGAGAACCGGCCGGATGCTCGCTCGGCCATGAACAGGCACAACAACGAAGCAGGACGGACGGTAAGGATTATGGTCCTCTTGTCCGCGTTCCCTTAACGGGGTCCGCATCAAACTTTTCCTTCGGATTTGAGACTGACGTACAGACATGTCCGCACATCATGGCAGGGACACACCCATCTATTCCACTTCCAGTACAGGTAGTCCTCGACTTACGATCACAATCGGGACCTGAATTTCAGTTGCTAAGTAAGGCAATCAATGACCCTGGGACACTGTGACCATCATAAGTATGAGTCAGTTGCCAAGCGCCTGAATTTTGATCATGTGACCTTAAGGGATTCTGCAAGGGTCCTAAGTCACTTTTTTTTTCCAGGGCTGTGGCAACTTCCAAAGGTCACTAAACAAATGCTTGTAAGTTGAGGACTTCCCGTACAAATATTATGGTCAATTAATCTTCTGCTTCTTTGTCCCCCTCTTTCTTTGTTTCTCTCTTTCTTTCCTTCCTTCTTTTTCTTTCTTTCCTTCTCCCTCCCTCCCTTTTTTCTTTTTTCTTTCCTTCCTTCCTTCCTTCCTTCCTTCTTTTTCTTTCCTTCCTTCCTTCCTTCTTTCCTTCCTTCCTCCTTCTCTCCCTCTCACCCTCCCTCCCTCCTTCTCTCTCTTTCTTTCTCTCTTTCTCTCTTTTTCAGTCCATCATAGACCACATGCATCTCAAATGCAAGTGCCACGGCCTGTCTGGCAGCTGTGAGGTCAAAACCTGCTGGTGGTCTCAACCAGACTTCCGGGTCATCGGCGACTACCTTAAAGATAAGTACGACAGTGCTTCTGAGATGGTGGTGGAGAAACACCGAGAGTCCCGCGGCTGGGTTGAAACCCTGCGCCCCAAGTATAATTTCTTCAAAGCGCCCACGGAGAGAGACCTGGTCTACTACGAAAACTCCCCCAATTTTTGCGAGCCCAACCCTGAAACCGGCTCATTCGGCACCCGCGACCGAATATGCAACATCACCTCGCACGGCATCGATGGCTGTGACCTGCTGTGTTGCGGCCGCGGACACAACACGAGGACTGAGAAGAGGAAGGAGAAGTGCCATTGTATCTTCCACTGGTGCTGCTATGTCAGCTGCCAGGAATGTATAAGGATCTACGACGTTCACACGTGCAAGTAAAAAGGAATAACCCGCTCCATCGCCGGAGATGAACCAGAAGGAACTTTTCTTTTATCTTTTTTTTTTTAGTTGGGGGAAAAAAAAACAACTTCTTGAGAGTGAATGAAGACAAACGGAGAGAGAGAGACAGAGAGAGAGGGAACGAGAAGTTAAAATGGGTGGACTTAGGATAGTTCTAATGTCTTCTGGGTCGTCACACCTGGAAGTTAACTTTGCAATGCCATCAACGAGAGAAACGAACAAATGGGGTCATTCATTCTCACTATCGTTCTACAGAGAAGAGATGGTGATTTCTTTAACTAGACATAGAATTGGGTCAGGGGGTGCTCTGTAGTTGACTTCTGGGGGTGTCACCCCTTCCTTCTTTGAAACCACAAGTCACCGGATCTGTATGCGAATTCTGAACTCGGAAGACGATTCTACGCAAGGATCCTCCTGTTACAGCACCAATGTCAGCCAGGACTTTTAACTGTTGTATAGGATTGAAAACGGTCCACAGGTGATGCTTTATCAAAGATCTCCCGTAACTTCTTGAGGGAACTAAAAGGATCTGAAGAGACCTTTTACTCTGTAGATGGGCCATGTGTGTTGTCTCCCAACCTGGATGATAACAGTGTCTCGTACCATTATTGGAGGTGATATTTCCACCACACTTTGAGGAGACAATTGTGCTCGTACAGCATGATGGAGAAAAGACCTACATACACACACAGGCACAGACACAGACTGTGGGTCAAGTAGGACTCTCTCGTGCTGCCTGGAATCAGCCTCGAGGACATTTCTTTATTCTCGTTCAGGCTGCAAGAAACCGTCTCGTAGTGCTGGTCTTGATAGCTATGCTTGGACAATATGGATCCAATAAATGGTTCTCTTGTGATCGATGCCTTATTGTATGGTTAGCCAACCAATATTGTATTGCCGTGGTAGAGAGAAAGGGGAAACCGGGTCCTTCTCTCTGGATAGTCTTCATCTTTATTTGAGCCATGCAAGACATGAAATAAAGTGTTGAATCCATGGTCACCACTGATTTGACGGGTTTTTGATTTCAAGTTAAAATGTCCGCCTGCTGTGCGCCCGTTGTCCCGCGTCAAAATGCTTCTTCCACATGTCCGCACCTGGGGTACAGTTAGTCCTCAACTTATGACCACAGTTGAGCCCAAAATTTCCGTTGCTAAGTAAAACAGTTGTTAAGTGATTTGTGCCCCTTTACCTGAACTTTTTGCCCCCGTTGTTAAGTCAATCACACCGTGGGTTAAGTTGCTTCCCCTGTTGACTTCCCTTGTGAGAGGTTTGCAAACGGGGATCATGTAACTATGAGACACCGCGAGCATCATAAATATGGGCCAGTTGCTAAAATGTCCAAATTTTGATCCCTTGACTCTAAGGATGCTGCAACAGTTGCGTGCAAAACAGTCGTAAGTCCTTTTTTCAGTGCCGTTGTAATTTTTGGACAGTCACTAAGCAAATGGTTGTAAGTCGAGGACTACCTGTAGTTATATTCTGGCAGATTCTAGAATAGAGCTACCTAAATCTTTTCCTGCACAATTAATTACAACCGAGTTGTGTACTCCCAGTTGCATTCAGAGAGGGTCCAGACTGGAAAAGAGAAAGGATTCATGAAGACCAAAAGTTCCTCAAATAGGTGTTTTTTGAATCATGCACAACAGATAAACACAGATGACCTCAGGGCATAGAATTACAGACTAACAGAACTGGAAGAGACCTTGAAGGTCTTCTAGTCCAGCCCCCTGCTTAAGTAGGAGACCCTATATTATTCCAGAGAAATTCTTGAAAGCCCCCAGTGTTGGTGCACCCAGAACTTGTTAGGAAAATTCTCCCTGGTTCCAGGTGCTTCTCTCGTTGATGAGTTTCCATCCATTGCTCCTTGTCCCCTCCTCAGGTGCTTTGGAAAACAGGTCAACCCCCCCCCTCTTCTTTGGGGTAGGCCCTCAAATATTGGGAGCACTGCTGTCATGGCACCCCCTAGTCCTTCTTGTTTTTAAACTAGACATACCAAATTCCTGCAACCGTTATTTAAAAGTTTTAGCCTCCAGTCCCCTAATCATCTTTGTTGCTCTTCTCTGAACTCTTTGCAGAGTCACAACATCTGTTTTTTTATATTGTGGTGACCAAAACCAGATGCAGTATTCTAAGTGTGGTCTTACCAAGGCATTATAAAGTGGCACGAACACTTCACATGATCCCTCTATTAATGTAGCCTAGACTGGCTATGGAGTCCAGAGAAGCCCATAGAGTCTTCCCAAGTACGCTTAGGTAGCATTTCTGCAGAGACATCTAGGGGATCACACACTTTTGAGAAAAAAGCGACACAAATGCAGAGTTGCACGCTCATTGTGCCTGTTCTGCACCTTTGTGTTCATGCTCAGGGTGTCACAATACTGTACACCAATGAAAGGAAGGTGCTTGTGTTGCTGTGGTGGAACACTTATTTGAAGGCCCAACAAATATTAGAAATAGTGCTCCAGGGAACGCCTATACGGTTAAACACCACCATCTCCACAGGTGCACTGACCCCAGGCAATGGTCAACTAACTGCCAAACAGTTAGCATAAACTGAATCCCAGAGACCAGGTGACTGAACACTGATATGATAAAATATTTGTTGTTCAGGATTGAACTAGTGTGTCCTTAATGCTCTCTGAACTTGGAGGAGGAGGAGGAGGAGGAGAAGGAAGAGGAGGAGGAGGAGGAGGGGGGAGGAGGAGGAGGAGGAGGAGGAGGAGGAGGAGGAGGAGAACTGTGGGGTCCTTGGTGTTCTCTGAGCTTGGAGGTTTTCTCACGGACATTTCATGAGCCAACTAGAGGACATCTTCAGTGCTAGAAGAGAGGAGGAAGTTTCAAAGAGGAGGAGGAGACGAAGGAAGAAGAAGAGGAGGAGGAGAAACAAGAGGTGGAGGAGTGTTTGGTCCTTGGTTCTCTCTGAACTTGGAAGTTTGCCCGCAGACATTGCATGACCCAATAAGGGAACATCTTGAGTGTTGGTAGGGAGGAGGAGGAGGAGGAGGAGGAGGAGGAAGAGTTGGGTCCTTGGGTGCTCTCTGAGTTTGGAGGTTTTCTTATAACATTTCATGACCCAATTTTGGAACATCTTCAATGGTAGAAGGGAGTGGGGAGGTTGCAACGATTGTCAGTGTGAAAAATGGTCATAAGTCACTTCAGTGCATTGTAACTTCAAATGCACTAAACCAATGGTTTTAAGACAGGGACTGCCTCTAGCAGAGCCAGGCCTGCAAGGCAGCCATCAACCATGTCCAAACAATCCACTAGATTGTGTGTAATTTACATAACATGAGTAATGTAATTGGACAGTGGTTTGATTTTTTTTGGTCACAGTCAAGTGAATCACTGATTTGTTAAGTGAAACATGTCATTAGCAAATTCAGCATCTCGCCCCCTCTTAACTTTGCTTGTCGGAAGCTGGTTTGGAAGCCCACCCCTAGTATTCACTGGGATGCTGCAACTGTCATAAGTACATGCCAGTGGCCAAGCATTCAAATGTTGATCATGTGGCCATGGGGATGCTGCAACCATTGTAAATGCAAGGACTGGCCCTGAGTACCTTCTTCCAGTTCTGCTATAACTTTGAATGTGTGCTAAAAGACTGGTTGTAATTTGAGGATCACCTGACCGTGAGAATGCTGCAATAATTATAAGTGCGAGGACCTTAAATAGAGGTAAATGGAAGGACTAGTCGTAAATCTAAAATGGTATAAGGTTTCCTGCCTGAGCAGGAAGTTGGAGGAGAAGACATCCCAGGTCCCTTCCAACTTCGTTGACCTTTTCTATTCTGTCACCTTTTTCAATGCCATTGTAACTTTGAACAGTCACTAAATGAATGATTGTAAGTTGAGGATGATCGAGTAGAATAGAATAGAATAGAATAGAATAGAATAGAATAGAATAGAACAGAACAGAACAGCACAGTACAGCACGGAATAGAATAGAATAGAATAGAATAGAATAGAATAGAATAGAATAGAAT